AAAGCCCCCATACTGCCAAGTGTAACTCCTATTAGAAAACATCTTAAAGCAAGCCGATGTTACCCATCATGTGAGCCTCAAGGAAAATGAAATCTTTTTGCTGGTGGAGGGTCTTATGGAAAAATGCAACATTGGCCTTAACTATGTACTATCTATTCAACCCTTTTCTTTTTTTCTTTCCTTCCTCCTTCCCTCTATCACTTCATGCCTTCCTTTGAGAGTTGCCAGGAATCAAAGCCAGGGCCTCACACTGACTAGATAACTGAGCAACATCCCTTGCCTCAACTCACATTTCTCTTCCTTGTGAGTAGATCAAACACCAGCAAGGTGACTATCCACCGATGTGGACGTGGGGCTCCCCCACCCACCCCAGTTAGCAGGACCGCCCCAATTTGTTCCCTCTGTCACTGCTTCCTCCCCTCAGACCTTCCCCTCTGCAGGGATCTTCCAAAGACTCTGTACCTCCATTTCCTACTTTATTCCACCGTCAGGAGGTTGAGGATGTTTCCCAAAAGTCTGAGACATACAGAGCAATATGAGTTCGTTTCTCCTGTTGGATTTCTTGGCAGAAAAAGTTGGCGTTTCATCATTACAGTCTGCATGGTGGTATACAGTCCTGTGCCCCGATCCATGTTTTGGTCACAGATAGGACAGCACAAACTGTAATGGCTCCAGGTGAGTCTGGATGCGTAGCCGGTCCCACCTCCAGATTTGGGTTGGTGCACTAAAGATACAATTCTCAGGACAGATCACCACTATGAAGCGTGAATGATCCTAAGTCCTAAAATACAGGGGTAACTCCGGTGATCCTTGTCACAACTGAATTCCCACGCTGCTCCAGAATCTCTTGCCAAGATGGGCCAGAACATGGAGGTTATCACACAGGAGGCTTTCAATGACTATCTCTGAAAACAACTGTGCTCAGAGGAAGGATCTATTACCAAACGTGGAGGGGAAAACAACACAGATGGACCTAGCCCCTTTCCCCTGGAAACAAAAGGAGTGTCCAGAGGCCCCTGCCTCCCCTTGACAGAGACCTGGGCCACCAACCCTCCATCTGACCCTGCAGCATCACATATCCCTAAAGGGACCAGGTTAAAGGACTCTTTTTTCTCTTCTCTTCTTTTTTTTTCTTTTTGGGCCACACCCAGCAATGCACATGGGTTACTTCTGGCTTTGCACTCAGGAATTATTCCTGGCTGTGCTCAGGGGACCATATGGGATGCTGGGAATTGAACCCAGGTCAGCCACATGCAAGGCAAACGCCCTACCCACTGTACTGTCGCTCCAGCCCCAGGACTCTCTTGTGGGATGCTCCCAGCTCCAATGCCATCCTACGTGCATGCCAAGAGCCTATGGAAGAGCCAGTCCTTAAGATGTGACACACCTGAGCCACCTTCCTGGCACTGGTAGTGCAGTCCCCAGAGCTTGGGAAGGATAATCCCCCAAGGGAAGAAATACTGCTAGCTGCAACTAGATTTGAGAACTCCAGCCCATGGGGTGGGGGCGAGTGCTGACTGTCAGGAGCACTTTCTCCCTTGAGACTAGGTTCCACGGAGGCGCATCTACCAGGCTGTTGTTTAGGAGCAGTGAAATCCTGGGCAAGTGTCTTTACGGGGGCAAGACTCAACTTCCACATCCACCCGGTGGGACCCCTGGTGGTTGCTAAGTTAAAAGAGATCCCAGAGAGACAGAACAAAGCATAGAGCCAGCCAGGAGCCATCTGAGCCAAAGCCCCTCCCGCTCCCTTCCATGCCTACATCCTGAAATCCTCAGAATTCAGTGTCTTAGCTCCTCTTACAGGCCTGGGGAACCAAGGGTTTGGAAAGGAAATAGTATTGGAGCCAGCGAGGGCTGTGGCAGCAGGACAGAGAAGAGGCTGAACAGGGGAGAGGTGGGACGAGCATCCATGTGCTGTCACCCCCGGCCAAGTCCTCATAGTTACATGGCCTGAGGAGTGGTGTCCCCTCCTCTAGCTGGGCTTTGGCCTTCCCTGCACACACACCTTGATGATGGCACCTCAGCATACCAGCCCAGTGACCTGGCCATGGCCTCTCTGTCCTTGCCCCCTTGATAATTTTCCAAATCACAATTCTACAAAGATCAATGAATGTTTAACTTCTGTCCCACCTTCTCCCGGGCTGAGTGAGAGCAGGGAGGAAGAGGGAGCCCAGAGCCTCCGAAAGGAAAGGGAGAAAGAAGGTCAGAGACTGGAACTCCATTATGCTGATTTAATTAGGTCTAATCTGCTGACAGCCAGGCCTGCAAGAAAGAGGCTTTTGTTTAAACTTCACTTTTGGCAGGAAGTGCCCCCCCAACCCCCCCCCCCATTAAATGCGGGAGCCCAAAGCTGATTTCAGTCCCAGCTCTCACAGCCAACAGTGCCAGAGCTTCCTTTTCACACTTCTCTGACCAACTTCTTGATTTTCCAGGAAGGAAATTTGCCCCAGATGTCCACCAGTAAATGGAGTTTTCATCTGCCTTATGAAAGGCTGTCAGTAATGTATGAGCGTGCACACACACACACACACACACACACACACACACACACACACACACACACACACACCACGAACTAAAGAAGTGAGAGCTAAAGGAAGCAAAATCAGCCAGCTTCTCTCCATTATCCAGAAACCCATGGTTCGTCCATTAACTCACGGGCAGAAAGCCTTACAGCACAGGCCCACACATAGGAATTGGAATTGCACACCTCTCTTGGGAGAAAAGAAATGAGATCTTATCTCAGGGAAAATAAGGGTCCCGTAAGGCAGGGTCATTCATTCACCCAGACAGGCTTCCAGAGCCCCAGCAGCTTACAGGACCGAAAGAGCAGGCAAGAGACTCACAGGAGCTTCACAGCCTGGGGGGGTTGGAAAACGTAAGTCCTGGGTGTTCTGAATGTTTTAGGCAGGAGAGACGGCTCCTCCCTAGAACACTGACTAGATCAACGGCCGGACACCTCAGGGCACTGGCCCTCAGTGCTGCAAGTACTCTGAAGGATCCTGAGCACCAAGACCTGCGCTGGGTGTAGCCCCCCCCCCAGTACTGCTATGTATAGCCCCCAAACAAAACAAAATCAAAACAAAAAGCTGTTTGATAGCAATGGCTCGTTTCTGTACTGCCAAATTCTCATGCCATGACCCATTTCAGTTTGTCAACAATTCCTAACCATTAGTTTGCAAATTTCCTAAATATTTCAAAATGGGTACGAGGGCATGAGGGCAGGGCAGAGAAGAGACATAGTAGGGAGGGTATGGACTTGTCTCGCCTGATTTAATTCTCAGCATCACCCCATAAGATCCTCCTTCCCCCTGGTCACACCAGGTGTGACTTCACAAAAGTATAAATAAGGAGGTGGGGGGCTGGAGACAGCACAACAGGTAGGGCATTTGCCTTGCATGTGGCCAACCCAGGCTCAATCCCTAGTACCTGCCATATGGTCCCCTGAGCCCCACCAGAAGTGATTTTTGAGTGCAGAGCCAGAGAAAGTCATGAATACTGGGTATGGCCTCAAACTGAAAAAATAAATGATAAAGAAGATGTTTCTTGGATCAAAGAAAAAGGGATTAAGGTGCTAGCCTCAACATAGCCAACCCTGGTTCAATTCCCGGCACCGTATTTTGGTACCAGGGCATTGCCAGTAGTAAGCCCTGAGATCTGCCAAGTATAGCCCCCCAAATTCCCCATCCCCCCAAAACATGTTTTAATTTGAAATGGCTCTAAAGAACCTTCAGGCTAGGAGCCAGAACAATGGTGCAGCAGGTAAAGTGTTTAGCTTGCACATGACCAACCTGGGTTCGATCCCCGCCATCCCATATGATCACCCAAGCACAGCCAGGAGTGATTCCTGAGTGCAGAGCCAGGTATGACCCAAAAAGGAAAAAAAAGGTTAAAGGTTAAAGACAAATCCTTCTGCCCCCTAATTGACTGTACCTTTCTGCTTTACCTCTCTACATCCTCAGGAAATTCATGGAAGCACCTTAATAAAAATGACTAATGTAAGATTTCAGACACGTACACATTTTTAAAGTCATGGGGGGAGGAGTGCTGAGCAAGGAATGTAATGAAATGTTCTAACATACCTGTATGATTTGCCATTGTGGCTTCCTTGGGCTGGGTAAGGGGAGAGAAAGGAGACAGATGGAGAGAGAATAGAGGAAAGAGATGGAGCAAAAGGGAGAGAGAAAGACGCAGAGAAGAAGGGAAGGGAAGAAGAGGGGAGAAAACAGAGGAGGGAAAAAAAGGAGTTACATATGGGCTGGAGTGATAGTACAGAGGGTAGGGTGTGCTACCCTTGCATGCGGCCAACCGGGAGTTTGATCCCCGGCATCCCATATGGTCCCCCAAGCACCACCCCTGAGCATCGCCGTGTGTGACCCCAAACGCAAAACAAAATAAAATAAAATAAAAAGAGTTACCTAAAAACTGTAATAGCACAGCGGTAGGATGTTTGCCTTTTGCACGGCCAGCCTGGCTGAGCCAGGTTCAATTCCTCCACCCCTCTCGGAGTACCCGGCAACCTACCAAAAGTATCTCGCCCACACAGCAAAGCCTGGCAAGCTACCCGTGATTTATTCAATATGACAAACACAGTAACAACAAGTCTCAAAATGGAGACATTACTGGGACCGCTCGAGCAAATCAATGAACAACGGGAGGACAGTGCTACCGTGCTACCTAAGAACTGGATTTCCCTTGTAGAAAACAGAGTGCACCCAAGTTAAGCATTCACCTGGAACTGGTATGGCAGTCTTACTTGAAGAAATTCCATCCCTTTGGAGTTCACATTTCACAACAATTGAACAATAACTCCCTACAAGATTCCAAAAGACTGACGGCCACCAAGTGGCTTTGTCCACCAGTGGGCTAAAGATGATGTGAATGAACCCAAGACAAAGGGGTCCCCGTCTCTCCCCAGCCTTAGGGATGAGAGCATCAGCCACCTGCCACAGGAGGCTGCACCTCTGTGCCAAGCGTGGGATTCCGGGGGAACAACTTACCTCTGTGCTGGGACAGAGAGACCCAGCCGTAGGGCTTGAGCAGGCTCGGGGAGGCCAGTTTGTTTCAGCCCGTCTCAGGAGCAGCTTCTGCTTGGGCAGCTGCCTTCTGGGCTCACTGCAGAGCTTCTACCCAGCCTGCAGGGATAAACAACAAAGCAAAGTTGTGCACGGAGCCCAGTGGCGGCACTTACATATGTTAAGACAGGCTGGAGGGGAAGCAGCCTTGCTCCTCCCACTCCCAGCCCTTCCTGGGAGACCTGCAGCCCAGGGCTCACACTGACCCTCCCCACCCAGGCCTGACCCCTTCCTGGGGCCAAATGCTCTCAGAGTAGGGAAAGTGAACTCTTAACTTTCATCCTTGATTCCTTTGGTTTCTTGCTGTTAGTGGTTTTAAAAAAAGCATGAGTTTTACACTGAGGCTGTGGACAAGTGATTTCAATCAATAAATGCCCTAAACTGACTCACAATCCACCTTTGACTCCCTTGGAAGACAAATGAATTAATTCACTGTTACAAATGTGAGTTAATTTTCTGCTAACTTATCTGGGGAATTTTTATTTATTTTTTTAAAGAAATATTTGTATTATAGTTTAAGTAATATGTTATCTGGATCAAATGCCTTGGTACTGTCATCTCTGTCCACACTTCATTCTTCCCCACCTTCCCCTCCAGGGACCATTTTTAACTGAATTTTAACCTGAATTTTAGCCCAAATAGTACTATAGTTGTGTAGTCGTTGGGTGAATAGCATTGGGGTTTTTGTGGGATTTTTTTCTTTTTTGCATTTGTGTGTGTGTGTTTTGGTTTTTGTTTTTTGTGAGGGTTTTTTTTGGGGGGGGGGGATTTTTGAGTCACACCCAGCGATGCACAGGGGTCACTCCTGGCTCTGTACTCAGGAAATATCCCTGGCGATGCTCAGAGGACCATACGGGATGCTGGGAATCGAACCTGGGTCAGCCACATGCAAGGCAAACACCCTACCCGCTGTGCTATTGCTCTAGCCCCTTTGCATTTGTTTCTAAAGTGATTGTTTTGGAAAAGGCAATTACAAGTATGTGTAATCTAGAAATTTTAGAAAACATACTTGTCAATGGAAGGGTTCTCCCTCTTTCTTTCTTTCTTTCTTTCTTTCTTTCTTTCTTTCTTTCTGTCTGTCTTTCTTTCTTTGTTTTAAGATTACCCACCCTCTTGTGCCTCTTGGTTTTCTCTGATCACTTGACTCTGTTTTTGTTTTGTTTGTTTAGCCTGGGTTTTTGTTTTGTTTTGTTTTGTTTTGTTTTGTATTGGGGGGAAGTGGGATAGACCCATTTGCGCTCAATGCTTGGGATCCCTCCAGGTAAAATATGCACTCCTATCCTTTGCTTTGAGTATCTCTGGAGTCCTTACCTGGCTTTAAATAAACAACAAAAAAAATATGGGGTAGTGTTTTCTCTTGCGACTTTGGTAACATTATTTTAATAAGGACAAGATATGCCACTGTGTCGCTCGAACACCAACTGGGCCCCACTGCTAAAGGCTGAAATTTTCAAAAATCTCCAGTTCTGGTAGGTGTTTTGTTTTGTTTTGGTTTGGTTTTTGGTTTTGAAAATTACAGCTATTTCTTGAAACTAAATCTTTGGGGGAAATTCTGTTTTCCCCACCACCTCAGTCTTTAAGGAAAGGACTAGTTTACAGCCAGAAGGGGTTAAACTGGGGTTAGCTGCATGCAAGGCAAGTGCCTTAACCTTCTGTATTTAATCTCTCCAGCCCAATAAATTCATTTTTAAATGGTTTTAATTGGGTTTTATTCTTGTCTGGGGCTACTCTCAGCAGTGCTCAGGGACTACGCCCAGTTTTAGGCTTGGGGATCACTCCTGGTGATGCTCAAGGTATCAAACCCAGTCTCCTACATGTAAAGCATGCTGCCAATCACATGAGCTCTCTGATCCTTAACACACAGTTGCAGAAGATATAGCGATGAAACCTTGCAGTTTGTTGCAACTTGAAGGGAACTAGAGGGTGTTGTCTTAAGCAAACTAAATCAGGAAGGACAAATATCAGATGATCTCAAGATATGTGGTATACAGAGAAGCTAGGGAATAGACAGAATGACTGATGACACATCCTTAGCTTTGATTACAAAATTCAGATTATCAAGCTGTGGGGAGGAAAGGTAGGGTACAAGACAGAGGAAACCAGGAAGTGACCTAAAGACAGTGGTTAAGGGTCTGGGGCACTTGGGTAATGGTGAAGCTGCAGTAACTATACAACAAAGCCATAAAAGTTGGGGGCTAGATAGGTGCATTAGGGGTTAGGTGCATGCCCTGAAGGCAGCCCACTCTGGCTTGATGCTCAGTACAGCCTGGTCCCCTGAGCCTAGCTAGGAGTAGTCGTAGAGGCCCCAGTACCTGGTAATCCCAGGCACTGCAGGCACTGAGCGTGATGTGAATTCTTGAGCCCCTACATTGAACCACAGGCCAAGTTGACCAAACATGATGGGAGAGGCTCATGGTCCTTCTGAGCACTGCTTGGAGCATCCCCAACACACACACACATCCCCAACACACACACACACACACACACACACACACATTAACACTATACTAATAACCATGTTAGTTATCTAAATGACAATAAAATAATCTCAAAAGCCAGAGCAGTAGTATAGCAGGTAGGGTGCTTGCCTGGTATGCGGCTGACCCAAGTTTGATTCCAGCACCTCATATGGTCCCCAAGCAGTGCCTGCAGTAATTCCTGAGTGCAAAGCCAGGAGTGACTTCTGAGCACTGCTGGGTGTAGCCCCAAAATAAAACAAAGAAATAAACCTTTTTGATTTAATTAGTGAGTAAATAAAGTGAGTACATTGGGGGGCTGGGAATAAATAAAAATAAAATAATAAAACACAGAAGTCAAATTTGAAGTCATTTTGAAGTCGATTCCCAAATTTCACAGGCCTTTTGAGCAATCTTGTCAGGCGACCTCCACGACTTTGGTGGCACAATAATTCTTCCCAGCCAGGGGCAAAATTGCCCACCCTCCCCCGGTGCCTCCTCAACTCATGGCTCATGGCTTTCATTTCTTTCGTGGCTAGGAACATGACTTCCGGTTTTTCCCTTTCTATGCACAACTTCGGCTCAGCCCAAGTCTAAGATCCATAAGGCTGACAGGAAGATCCCTAAGGCAGGAGAATGGATGGAGGAGGAAGAATCCGGAGAATTCCACGTCGAAAGAGAGAAAGAGGGGGAGCACACGAGCTTGGGGTCCAGGAGAGAGACCCTGATGAGATGGATAGAGGAAGTGGAGGCTGCAGCCAGCTGCCTGAGGGTGGGTCAGGAAGAAGAGGACCAACATAGGCCTCGGGGAGATGGAAAAGAAAATGTCACTGACAGCACGAAGGCTACTTTGCTGTAATTAATGCCAACAAAACACCAGGAGCCACTTGCACTGTGTCACCGCAGGGAGTGTGCAGGTCACCAGGAAGAGATCCCTGTGTGCAAATGCGGCTAAGCTGGGGACCTCTGAAGCCTACCGGGAAAATTCTGCTACCCATATCCCAGATTCCCAGAAAGAGAGTCAAGTGCTGGGCAGGGGCATTGCAGGGCTGCTGAGCCCCCTCTTTCATAGGAAGGAGCACCCCTGCCTCACTCTCTAGCCCTTCGGCGTCCCTTCTTGTAGTCCAGGCCCAGCTTCCAGAGATGATAGAAAATTCGCCAGGTTGCCTGTCTAAACAGATTCACTGATGCCCTTGGCTCTGTAACCCAGGCAGGGCGCCATGGGGAGCCAGGTTTCATACCCCTTCCCAGCTGACTGGCCTCCAACATGCTGATCCACACATGTATCCACCCTCCAGCCACAACTATCTGCAGACTCCATGGGGTGTCATCCCTGCCTTTTAAACCCCTTAAAAGGTTTGTAGGGCTTCCAATATTATTAAATGAATGAAGTTCATCCCCTGCCCTCCCCAACGTCAACCCCACCTGCTCACACACTGTGCCACACAGACCAAGGGTGGAACCTGGATTTGAAAGCAATTCACCAAGCTGAGGATAAGGCACCAGTAGGAGAGCAGGGTGACCTGCACCACCATTGCCACCAAAAGCCAGTCACAGGGTGGGGAGAGAGCTCAAAGGGCAGATATGTGTGCTCCATGAGGACAAGGCCAGGGTTCAGTCCCCAACATGGCACAGCCTCCTGAGCACCACCATGCAACAAGCTGAGGGGCCCCTGAGCACGGCCAGGTGTGCCACTACCATCCCCCAAAACAAATCAACCACCCAGTACAGCGCTCAAAAATAAGAGAACGAGATCCGACACTCTTCAAAGGTTGTGATCGTGAAAAAAAGAATTGTAGAAGCCAGAGAGAGATAGTACTGTGGGGAGGGTGTCTGTCTTGCACGGGGCCAATCTGAGTTCAATTCCCAGCCTCCCATATGGCTCCCTGAGCACCGCCAGAGGTGATTCTTGAGCACAGAGGCGGAGTAAGCCCTAAGCACCACTGGGTATGATCCAAAAGACTAAATAAAAAATTTAAAAAGAAATAAAATAAAAGATCAGTGGTCAATTGCTGATGGACCCTAGAACTCCAAAGGAAAGGTAGAAGAAGCACTGCCAGGAGAAGAAAGTACCACGCACAGTCTAAACAAAGAGACCCAGAGGCCATGCGGAAGGCGGAGGAAGCTGGCTACAAAGGAAAACAGGGCAAAGGCTCTGCACAAGGCAGGCAGGAAACCCTGCAGCCCCAGGCAGAGCAGATGCCTTATAGGGCCCACAGACCCCACTGTATTGTCTACCTGATAATCCTATCCATGGCCCCTAACATCTTCCAATTCCGGAAGAGCTCGGTTTAGATCCGGGTCCAGCTGACACTGAAGTCTGACACAGCTGTGAGCCCATAAACCCAGCTTTGGCCATCCATTACAGCTACTCACCTTTTATTTTTTTTAACTTCCTTCTAAGGTTTGTGGCTGGACTTTTGGTACCATGAAGCAACCGAAAGGGATGGTCCTCGGTGGCAAGCAGAACTGTCCTTTGCAGAAACGCAAAATTGAAAGAGTGGCAGAGCTGTAAGGATGGCAGAATTATTTAAAATGAGATCTTTCTATTAAGTAAAGTAAAGGCCCTCCCGTTGTTCATCGATTTGCTCGAGCGGGCCCAGTAACATCTCCATTGGAGATTTTGTTGTTACTGTGTTTGGCATATTGAATACATCACAGGTGGCTTGCCAGGCTCTGCCGTGTGGGCGAGATACTCTCGGTAGCTTGCCGGGCTCTCCGAGAGGGGCGGAGGAATCGAACTCGGGTCGGCCATGTTGGCTGCGTGCAAGGCAAACGCCCTACCACTGTGCTATCGCTCCAGCCCTTTCTATTAAGTGGTTTATATGAACTCAGTCAACTTAAATAAATCACTTCTGCCCATTGGATAAAAGAATTTTAATTATTTTGAGATATTTTGGTATTATTTAATTGAGCCACCATGAATTACAAAGTTGTTCATGATTGGGTTTCAGGGATACAATATTCTAACACCAGTTGCCTCTATGGCAAGCACCTTTTTATTCCTTTTAGTCACTATGGCTTACAATACTGTTACTGGTAGGGTTTGAGGCATAACATTTATTTTGAGCTTTGCAAGGGTCCCAGAAGAAGTCAGATGGAGTTTATTCTGTAGGTCTTTTGCTTCATAGCACAAACTGTAGAGAGAGCTCAATGAACTGGAGCATAAAGTTCACATGCAGAGTCCCAGGTTTGGTCTCCCCGGGCACCAAATGGTCCCCTGGGAGAGCTGCAGCACAGAGCAGGGAGCAGCCCCTGAGTACTGCCAGATACAGCCTAAACATTTTCAAGCAAAAACTAGAAACACAGGGACTGAAGCTATAGCACAGCGGGTAGGGCATTTGCCTTGCATGCAGCCGACCCAGATTCAATTCTTAGCATCCCACATGGTCCCCCAAGCACCGCCAGGAGTTATTCCTGAATGCATGAGCCAGGAGTAACCCCTGTGCATGGCCAGGTGTGACACAAAAAACAAACAAACAAAACTAGAAACACAGAAATTACAAATTTTTAAGGCTTGGACTGCAGACTATCTTTACTAGAGGAGAAATATACGTTTAAAGAAAGTTAGGAAGAGATAAGGTTATCTGTCCTTCCATGGCTCCTGGTTATGCCAACACTCTGTCCATCAAAATTCTGCCGCTGACAGCTTGAGAGTCTGAAGTGGGGTGTGTTACCACAGTTAGGAGCAAATGCAGTCCTCAAAGTAAGAATTTGACAACCACGATAAAAATGCTAGGCTCCAGGGCCCAGTTGCTAAAAGAGCTTACTGATCAAAAGAGGCTGGAAATGAACATTGGGTTGGGGTTACTCAACCATTTTGTGCTTGAGGGAAATACTTTCTCCTGTTGAAAGAAGAGCCTCAGGGAACAATCACTTCTACCCAATTTTAAAAAAATGTTTTTTTTACAACTTGTACCCCTGAGCCATCTGTATACTTCTAAGGTTAAATCTGTGTATCTTTTGCTCTTTGACCTCCCTCCTGTTCTGAAAGGATTACTGGCTTCATCTCTAGAGCGGGCAGGGCATTTGCCTTGCACGTAGCTGACCCGGGCTTGATTCCTCCGTCCCTCTTGGAGAGCCTGGCAAGCTATCGAGAGTATTCCGCCCGCACAACAGAGCCTGGCAAGCTCCTCATGGCGTATTCAATATGCCAAAAATAGTAACAAGTCTCAAATGGAGACATTACTGGTGCCCGCTGGAGCAAATCGATGAACAGCGATGTCACAGCTACAGTGACAGTAATACCGTGCTACCTCACCTCTGTTCCTAGGCAGCCAATTTCACTCAGCTCACAACTGGACTCAGAGCCTGATTTCTGCATTATCCCTTTCCCTGCCCACCCCCCTCATGCAGTCCCTGGCAACTTCCTGACTTCCTCCCTTTTCTCCTCCATGTCTAGTCCGACCCAAAGGTGGCAGCTGATGATTTAAGGAAGAGAGCAGAAAAAACAAGGGCTGCCTTGACCTCATGAGCTTGGAGCAAGCATTTCTGGCTCTATACAATGCGCAAGGCCCAAACTGCACCACAGCCAAGATTTGGAGACTGTGCCAAGTATCAGAAAAACCCATTGAAGTTTAGGAAATGCTCCAAGAACAAACACCTAAAGAATTTCATGACCCAGAATCCCCTACTGCAAGAAGAACCATGACTGATGGGCTCAATTTTGAGTCAGAAGAGGTGAGCCCAGGAGATATCAAACTTATTTCACCTATCACTCCCTTCCCAGAAACTCCCCTGCCGTGTGACATCTACCTTTTGGGGGTTGTTTTTGTTTGTTTTGTTTGGGGACCACACAACGTTCAGGGGTTACTCCTGGCTCTGCACTCAGGAATTACTTCCAGTAGTGCTTGGGGGACCATATGGGATGTTGAGATCAAACTCAGGTTGGTCACATGCAAAGCAAGCGCCCAACCCACTATGCTATCTCCAGTTCACATCTACCTTCTTTTAATAAATAAACAGAACGTGCCCCCCCACTTGCACTAGCTTCTACTACTGTCCCCTCCAGTCTATTGTCTCAGCACCCCTGAGGGCAGTACCATTTACTTTGGGAGCCTCAGGGTTAGCCTGTCGAAACACTCAGACCCAGGTCACTGACTTTCAAGAGCAATCAGCACAATGGATTTATCTTGGAATATACCTTGAGATTTATCTTGGTAGGTAAAGGGAACATTAGTAATTCAGAACCCATTAATCCACATTATTTGGCTATGAACAGTAGCTTGCATTGTTTGGCTATGAAAATGAAATTAGCTAAGAGCTTTTTGTATTGATCTTTGTGCATAAAACATTCCAGGATCTGGGTCTCTGTAAATGTGCTGGACCTGGCAGGCTATTCAGAAGATACAGTACCCAAACTACAATAAGAACTTCTGCTAAAGTCAGAGTCTTCTTGGATTATTTCTGCCCGTCTCTTCCATTCCAGAACTCATGCTCTTTCTGGGTTGCTCATCTGCGAGGCCCATACCCAACAGTATGGGGGTCCCAGCTGAGAACAACAAATAGCACATTTGGTTTCCCTTCCTTCAAAAGAAATGTATTTTTAGCAACTACTAAGCATCGGACACTTTACGGACAGAATGATTCATTTATCCCTCACAGGGTCTTACAAAAACAGGGAGCATTTTTCCCTTTTCTCAGATGAGGAATCAGAGCTCAAGTTGTTACTAACCCAAACACAACGCCGTTTTCAAAGCTATTGCTCTACAAGGCTTTTACCTCCTACAGTTAAACAAAGCGCTTTTCATTTGGAGAGCTGACTTCGTAAACAGTTTATGCAGAGCCCAGGTTGTAGCAAAAGAAAAAGAAAAATGGTGTAGGAGGCCCAGAAGAATACTCAGTGGCTTCAAATGCCTGTCTTGCAAGTGTATGGTCATGAGTTCAAGCCTCAGGGCTGCTGAGTGAGATTCTGGCAGTTCTGCTTTTGGAACAGCTGTCGGCAATTTTGGACACTACAAGGGATTTTCAGCCAAGCATGTGTGAGCACCACATGAAGAGGGTGACTCCCAGCAAGCTTTACCACCCGAAAGAGGTGCAAGCACCAGGCCCTGGAAGTGCGCCTTCTAGAATGCACCTGTGTCAGCGCCGAACCATAACTTGTACGCCACAAACTAAAGGGACCCCCAACAAGCACAGCAACTCTGGGGGTACAAACTTCAGTGATCATTGCGGCCTAGGCCATGGGCACCTCACCTTCATGTACAGTCTCTGAGTGGTACCACAGCCAGGCACAGGTGCACCCTGCAGTCATCATAATAACAATAGCGACCATGGAGGGAAAGAGAAGGGGAGGGAATTGTTCCAGAAGAAGAAAATGATGTGAGAATTTCTATTACCACGAGAGAAGGAGAAAGAGAGGTGGGTCATTCAGATAAAAGGGTTGGCAAAAGACAGAATAGGAATGTTCAGTGGTGAAATTAAAGTGGTATAAACAGATATTGATTTATAATGATGCCCCTTATATAAAGTTATATAATTAGTGTTGCCTCTATGAAAATAGCAACAACCAAGAAAGAGAATCTATTTACAGGGAAGCAAAAAAAGGGAAGCTCTCTGCCACAGCTGTATGCAAATCACCCCGTGCTCCTTCCTGCTCTTCACTGTGCTGTGCAGGTATAAATACAGCAGTCTCTCGGTGTCACGCCTGATTTTGGTGTTAATGTGGATATATGGGGAGACAGTCAGTCTTTTTGTGGTAGGCTTTGGGGGTAAGTGGTTGGCACTGCAGATCAAAAACAGGATTTCCACATGTAAAACATGCACTCCACCACTCTCAACTATCTCCCAGGTCAAAAAAGTGCAAAGAAAGAAAGAAAGAATTGATGGGGCTGGAGTGATAGCACAGCGGTAGGGCGTTTGCCTTGTGCACAGCCAGCCCGGCCGAGCCGGGTTCGATTCCTCTGCCCCCCTCAGAGAGCCTGGCAAGCTACCGAGAGTATTCAATATGCCAAACACAGTAACGAGAAGTCTCACAATGGAGACGTTACTGGGCCCACTCGAGCAAATCGATGAACAATGGGAGGACACACACACAAGGTGATTGATAGTTGAATTTTAGGTATATAATATTTCAACACCAATCCCACCATCAGAGTCAATTTTCCTCCACCAGAGTCCCATACTCCCTCCCCACCCCAACCCAATCCCATCCCCACCTGTCAACTTGATAGGCACATTACAAAGTTTCAGTGACTTAAGCTTAGCTCTCACATTTTCAAGAGTTGTAGAGTCCGTGTTTTGGATATATGGCTATGCCACTCACCGATATCATCGGTATTACTGTAGTCCTGATCGATGTCTGTTCACCCATTGCTTCCCATTCTCTTGATTTCTTTCCTTCTCTATCCTTCTTTTCTCTAAACACTGGAGTCAGGGTGATCTTGGCATCCCGCCATTATTACATTTCCTCATCTAGTATTCCATATACGACAATTAAGTGAGATCATCCTGTGTTTGCCTTTCTTCTTCTAGCTTACTTCATTCCACACGATATCTTCTAGTTGGGTC